GCAATTTCCTCCAATATTGAATGAAAAATCAATCCCAAAAGTAGTTTAGCAATTGTAGGTGACTTAAAAATCAATCTGTTCTGTTGCACTCACCAGCCACCAGGTACTTAACAGATTGTTGGGGTAACACCACTTGCGGCAAATATAACACTTCAACTTTATAACGAAGTATGTACAAGTGCAAATTAAAATTTTGAAATTTTACAAGAGTTACATGAAACGCCTCCATTTCAAATACGTAGAAATTGCGCCAATCTTAATTGCCCTAAGTTGCGCGTGTAATATTTATTTAGGAATGTCATTTGCACAATGCCAGATTATTACCTGAGCAGGTCGTAAGAGGTGAATAAGTTTAAGGGTGTGATTCAACCGCGTGTGATAATGGTAAAGCACGAAATATTGCTTATTCTTGATAATAAATCATGGCCATGGCAGTTCAAATTACGCAAACTAAACAGCCCTACACTGAATCTGCAATATCAATGTCTTGCAAATTGGGAATAAGCGGGCGAAGAAGGTTAAAGGAAAAATTTTTACCAAAATTGTAGGTTCTAATAGCATTCCAGTAAAAAGTAGCGTAGGACATAGTTATTTTGCTATCTTGTTTCTTCGTTAGTGTTAGTTTAAGCTAAAGAATGCAAAAAAATGCAGATAGTATCTTAGGAAATGAAGATTTTGAATTTGAACATCTCACTCTGTAATTTAATGTAAAGAAAACAAGCTCTAGAAAATATAGTGCGTGGAGATGGTGATGAACTTCATTAAATTCCGGCTTAGAGTTTTCAAATTATGTTATACAGGGTGTTACACGACCGTTCGAAAAAAAAAAATCGGGTTGTAGAGGGCATCAAAACAAGCACTTTTTCCAAATAAACCGAGGGTCCAACGTGGTTCGTTTGGGAGCCACCCCCCAAAGAGTGTTGAAATCTGCATTTCTTCTTTAATTTTTTTCTCAGCAACCATAAGAGTTACAAAGTCGGGTGGCATGTCTTTGAATATGTTTTTGGGTATGCTCTTTCCGATTTTGCAATTTTTTTTTCAAAATTCCTACCCCTAAAGGGCGCACCCCTAAACTAGGGTGCAAAAAAAATTCTGATTTCGACGAAATTTGGTATCTGGGGTTTTTTTTAACATGAAAATCACGAATCTGAAATTAGTTTTTGAAAATTCGAAAAAAAAAGTTCCACTGCAATTCTTGGCGGGACAACGAAAATAGAGATAATTCCACGAAATTTGTTGTGTACATACTAAGCGAGTTAAGGAACAAAACTGTCGAACAGTTTTTTAAAATAACTTTTCAAACAAAAGTTATACTCATTTGAATGTTGGTCCTTCGGGTCGCGAAGTGTCCAAAGCCTACTAGTAAGCCATAATTTCGCATGTGTTGGTTGACAATGTCGCAAAAACAAAAGATTAACGGTTTGAGTCGATATTTTGTTATTTGGAATTAATTCGGTCATTAAATGATTAAAAAATTCGATGTATCGATTAAAACACCTACCAAGGTATTTTAAAGCGCTGATCGATTGTTTATTATCTAAATAAGGTTTTGGAAGTTATTTTTCAACCTAAGATTATGAAAATTTTTGATCATAGTGAAAAAGTATCATACGGAAAGTGATTTGACTTTTTCCCCTACCTTATTTAGATAATAAACAATCGATCAGCGCTTTATCAGCGCTTTAAGATACCTTGGTAGGTGTTTTAATCGATACATCGAATTTTTTAATCATTTAATGACCGAATTAATTCAAAATAACAAAATATCGACTCAAACCGTTAATCTTTTGTTTTTGCGACATTGTCAACCAACACATGCGAAATTATGGCTTACTAGTAGGCTTGGGACACTTCGCGACCCGAAGGACCAACATTCAAATGAGTATAACTTTTGTTTGAAAAGTTATTTTAAAAAACTGTTCGACAGTTTTGTTCCTTAACTCGTTTAGTATGTACACAACAAATTTCGTGGAATTATCTCTATTTTCGTTGTCCCGCCAAGAATTGCAGTGGAACTTTTTTTTTCGAATTTTCAAAAACTAATTTCAGATTCGTGATTTTCATGTTAAAAAAACCCCAGATACCAAATTTCGTCGAAATCAGAATTTTTTTTTGCACCCTAGTTTAGGGGTGCGCCCTTTAGGGGTAGGAATTTTGAAAAAAAATTTGCAAAATCGGAAAGAGCATACCCAAAAACCTATTCAAAGACATGCCACCCGACTTTGTAACTCTTATGGTTGCTGAGAAAAAAATTAAAGAAGAAATGCAGATTTCAACACTCTTTGGGGGGTGGCTCCCAAACGAAACACGTTGGACCCTCGGTTTATTTGGAAAAAGTGCTTGTTTTGATGCCCTCTACAACCCGATTTTTTTTTTTCGAACGGTCGTGTAACACCCTGTATGTAAACTTTAAACTTTCTGCACTACAGTTAGCAAGCACCAATAGAAGCGCAACATATTTGTTGCTGTTGTCGTTGATTGGTCATACGTGTGTAGGCGGGCCAATTTTGTGGTGATTGTGAAAGCAAATGTCAATATGACAGCACCAGCCCGCACCGCACAACAAGGC